CCATTTTTTTTTGGAGGGGGGTGTGGGCAGGGACATCGGGGTTTACACCCCTCCCTCCCCCCCCCGCAGTGACCAGCTCAGGGAAGGAGAGGTCACTGCTGGGGACATAGTAGCTCTCCCCCCCCCCCCCCCCCCCCGCAAAAAAGACACGGGTGGGGTGTGGTTTCAGCCACCCGCGTCGGGCAGTGCTTCTCTCCCCACCTCGTGCCCCCTCCTTTTGTGCTGGGGACACAGCAGCTGCATCCCTTCCCCCCCCCCGCCCCGCAAAAAAAAAAAAAACCGCGGGTGGGGTGTGGCTTCAGCCACCCGCGTGCCCTCCCATGTTGTGGCAGGAGGACACAGCAGCCCACCCCGTCCAAGAAAAAACCCCACGGGTGGGGTGTGGCTTCGGCTAACGGCGTGGGACAGCGCTGCCCCCTTCCCCCCCCCCCCCCCAACTCGTGTCCCCCCCGCCTTTTTGTGGCGGGGCTGTTGAGGACACAGGAGTTGCGCCAACCCCCCCCCCCCCCCCCGCCCCACTTCCCCGCAGAATCCCCACAGGTGGGGCGTGCCCCCGGCCACCCGCGTGGGCCAGCGCCCCCGCCCCCCCCACCCGCGGGCCCCGGGGAGGGAGTCCCGTCCCCCCCCCCCCCCGGTGAGGCTGCAGCATCCGGGCCGGCCCCGCCACATCCTGCCGCCGGAAGGAGCCGCGGCCCCGGCGCCCCGGGACAACCCCCCCGGGGGTGACGTCATGCGGAGGCCCCCGCCAGGCGTGACGCCAGCCGCGCTCTGTGACGTCACGCAGCGGGCGGGCGGCGCCGTTCCTGCGGGGAGGGGGATCCCCCCCCCCCCTCCCCGGTGTACTTCCCCCCCCCCCTTCCCGCCAGCCCCGGTGCTGGGAGAGGTGCGGGGGGGGGGGGGGGGGCGGGAGGCAGCTCCGGTGGGCGCCGCCCCCGCTTCCTGCGCCGCCGCCGGGGGTCCCCCCGCCCCGCCACGTCCCCGGGGGGGGGACACACGGACACACCCGGGGGGGGGGGGGGGCTCGGCTCTGCCGCAGCGCCGGGGTGACCTTGCGCGGGGGGGGTGGTGGTGGGGGGTTTATGGTAGGGTAGGGGGTGTCCCCCCGTGTCCGTGCGTGCACCCCTCACGGGGCGGGGCTCTTCCCCCCCCCCCCCCCCAACCCGCACCCCCCCCGCCGTGCCCCCCGGTGCCCCCCGCGGCGGGGAGGGGCCGGCCCCGGCCCCCGCCCAGCTCCCGCCCGCAGCCGGGGCCGGGCCGGTCGGTGCGGGGCGGCCATAAATCACGGCGGGCAGAGCCCCCGCCCCGCCGCCGCCCTCCGCCGCCGCCGCCCGGGGGACCGGGGAGGGGGGGGGCAGAGCCCCGCCGCCACCGCCGCCACCACCCCCGCCCCCAGCCCCTGCAGATGTGGCGGAGCGGCCCGGCGGCCCGGCAGCGGGGGGGCCCGCTCCGCCAAGCCCCGCTCCCCGCCCCGCTCCCCGCCCGCCGCCGGCGCTGAGCCCCCGCCGCAGGTACGGTCGCGCACCGGGGACCGGCGCTTTGTCGCGCCGCCGCGCCCGCGGGGGGGGGGGGGGGGGCGGGGGGGGGGTTGGAGGAAGAGGAGGAGGAGGAGGAGGGGGAGGATGCTGCCACCGGCGGGGGGGTATACCCTCCCGGGAAGCCCCTTCACCGCCCCGCGGGAGCTCTGCGCGGGGGGGGTGGGGTGTGTGTGCGTGGGGGTCCCTTGGCACCTGCAGCCGCCCCCCCCCCCCTTCCCCTTCTCCCCGCCGTGGGGAGCGGTTGGGGGAGGACAGAGGGGACGTGGCCCCGGGGCACGGAGGGAGGGGGAAAGGGGGAGGAGGTGGGAGCGTGGGGCTCCCCGGGGACACACACACACACACAGGGTGGGTGGTGGGGGGGTGCAGAGAGGGGACCCCCCCACGCGCTGCCCGGTGGATGCCAGGGGGGTGGCCGTCACCCGCTGTCCCCCCGCGGGCGGGGTGGGTGTCCTGACCTTGGCCGTGGGGCGGGGGCTGCGGCGGGGACGTGCTCGGTGGCTCTGCCTGGCCGCGGCCACCCCCGGGGACCCCACCCGTGTCCCCACCGTGGGGGGAGGGCAAAGGGGTGGCTTTGGCTGGGGGCCGCAGGGCAGCCCCATCCTGGCCCCACGCCGGTGGTGCCACTGCTCGTCACCCCCCCCCCCATCCCCATCACGGGGGGGCTGCTGGTCCCACAGCCTCGTGGGGACGAGGTGTGGGGTAGCCAAGCCCAGGCTGTGCTGGCACGGCGGGGGAGTGTGTGGGGGGGGTGTTTTGGGGGGCCCGGCCGGGGTGACCCGCTCCCCGAGGTGCCAGCAGCGGGGGGCCAAGGGTTGCCACAGCTTGTCCCCAATGTCCCCAGGGGGCTGCTGCAGGGGCTCGTCCCCTGCCCCAAATGCAGAAGTCCCTCTGCAACCGGCCACCTCCCCTTCCCCACGCCTTTGTGTCACCCTGCTGTGACCGTGTCCCCCCCTAACCCGGGGGTCCTCGCGTGGTCCCCCGGTGCCAAGTGGCACCACCGTGGGGCTGCTCCCTGGGGAGGGGGCTGGTCTCAGCCCCCCCGCCGGGGTCCCCGCTGCCACCACGCGCCTGGGAGGGGGGGACCATGGCACCGGCCTCGGCTCAGGGATGAGAACCGTGGCCACTCCTGGGGACACCTTTGGGGAGTTGCCACCAGCCCTGGGGGGGACACACGGTGACAAGCTGGAGCCACCAGCAGGATTTGGGGGTCCGGTGAGGAGCCAGCACCGTCCGCAGCGGGATGAGGAGGGATGGTGGGTCCCGTGGTGGCCCGTGCCCTGCCAGCAGCCGTGGGGACAATGACCCCGGTGCGGTGGTGTGGTGGGGGGGGGGTGGTCCTGGGGGTGCCTGGCCTGCGCGGCGGTGCCAGCCCTGCCAAGTGCCAAGAGTGGGGGGGACACGACACACACAGTGAGCCCAGCCTGCCTGCCCCGCAGCACTGGCACCGCTCCCGGCTCGCCAAGCCCCGGGGTCACCGTCCCCTCTCGGGGTGACGCGGGCCCGCGGCGTTGGCGTCCCTCGCTGCCGCCAGCCCACCGCGCCGCCAGGGAGTCTCTGCCCCGTGCCCCCCCCATCCCCGCCGGTGCCCATGCTATTCCTGGCAGGTTTTGTGCAGGGGTTGATGGGGGGGGGGACGACGGGACACACACACGGACGGGACACAACACAACACCCCGACCGTGCCAGCAGCGGGGTGGCCCGGAGAGCTGGCACCCCGCCGGCGGCAGCGGGGTCACCCCGGGTCCCCCAGCCGCCGGCGGGCTGGGCAGCGTGGGGGGGCCTGGGGGGACCCCAGCTTAGCTGGCGGAGCTGGGGAGGGGGGCTCCCCCTGCTCCTGGGCTTCGTCCCAGCAGCCCCCGCCCGGACTGGGAAGCCCCTGGGCCCTGCGCCGCGCTGGACTGGTTTGAACTGGCGCGGCGGGGGGGGGGGGGGGCGGGGGGGGGGCGGCTCGCTGGGCGGCCAGAGGGGAAGCTGGGCCGGGCTGGGCTGGCAGCGCCTGGCGCGGGCAGGAGAAGCCGGGGGGGGGGGGGGGGGGGGGGGCAGAGCAGGCAGGGGCCTCTCACGTGGGGGCGCAGGTGCGGGGGGGGGGGGCAGCGGGGGCGTCCGGCCAAACCACCGCGGGGCTCATCCTCGTCCCCGTCCCGGGGGGGGGGGCCCCCGCGGCGCCCCGGCCGGTTCCCAGCAGCGGCGGGGCCGCGTGGTTTGGCAGCTGCCCGGGGCCGCGCCGCGGCAGCGGATGGAGGCCCCTTTCCCGCCCACCCGGGACCAACCCCACCCCCCCACCCCCCAAAAAAAAAACCTCCCCACCCCGGGGGATGTGGGGGACGCGGCCGCTGCGGTGGGATCAGCCCCGACGCCTTGACTGGGACGCCCGTGGCTTGGGGGGGCTGTGGGGGTCCTGTCCCACTGCCTCGGCTGGGGGTCCTGCCCCCCCCGGCCCCCGTCTGTCTGTCCTTCTGTCCTCGAGCTGTGCCAACAGGCTGCGGAGGGTGGCTGGAGCCTGAGAACCACGGGGGGAGGACTCGGGGCAGGGACCCCCCACGGGGCAGGCCCTGCTGTGGGGCGCAGGGTGAGGACCCCCTGGAGGGGAGGGACCCCACTGTGGGGCAGGCCCCACGGCGGTGGGGGCTCGGCAGGGTGGCTCCCCCACAAGGGATGGGGGTCTGCTATGGGGCGGGCCCCACCGCTTTGGGAGGAGGTGGAGGATCAGGCAGGGACACCCCCCCAATTTTCAAGGAGGCACCCCACTATAGGGCAAGCCCCATGGCCCTGGGGGCTCAAGATGTGTGTGTCGTGTTCCCCCCCCCCTCCCCGCACAGGGAAGGGGAGCCAGCTGTGGGGCAGCTCCTGCCATAGCCGCTTGGGACAGGGACCCCCCATGGGGTTGGCCCCACAACCAGGACGGGGGGGCAGCGCTGCTGTGGGGGTGGGGTGGGGTGCGGGCGGGGGGGGGTCCCTCGCCTCGCCGGCCGGGCCCCCCACCCCCCGCGGCTCCTCCGCATTCCTCAGCGTCTGAGCCGGGCTGGACCCCCGCCAGCGCAGGGGGGCCCCGCCGGCGGGGCAGGGCGGGGACCGGGCCCCCCGGGGCGGGGTGGGGTGAAGATGGGGGGGCCCCCGCTGCCACGTGTGCTGGGTGCGACGTGCCCCCCCCCACCACCACCACAGCGACACGGCCCCTCGGCCTCCCCCACCCTGCCTTGGGCGACGCGGGTGGCCGGGGTGGGGGGGCACAGCCGGGGGACAGGATCGGCGCTGCTGTGGGTCACTCCTGCACTGAGCTGCCCGTTCTCAGCCGCTTGCCGGAGGTGTGGCGGCCGAACCACCGCGGGGGTGGTGTTTTTTAGGCGGGGGGGGGGGGGATGTGGGGTGGGGGAGCCTGGCACTGCGGAGCTGTCACACCCCCACCCCCCCCCGAGGGGACAGTGGAATGGGGGGGGGGGTCGGGGTCCCCCGCCATGGCCTGGGAAGCGGGGGGGGTGCTGGCTCGCCCGGGCGCAGGCAGCCCCTGCCCGGCCCCGGCAGGCAGCGGCGTTGGCCGGCGGGGAAGGGGCCCCGGCGGGGGAGGAAGCTCTGCCGCCTCCGGGGCTGGGGCCAGCGGGCTCGGCCGCCCGGGTCACCGCCGGGCTGGTGGCCGCCACCGCCCTCCTCTGCCGCTGGGAAAGGCCTCGCTGGGGCAGGCCCCTGGGGACGGACGGACGGACGGACGGACAGGGGCAGAAACGGGGACGCCGCAGCTCCAATGCCCCCGGGGGGATTTGGCAGTCCCCAGCAAGGTTTTGGTAACTGGCCAAGGGGCTGTGCCAACCCCGAGGAGGGGGTTGGCGACACGGAGGGGACACGCTGGGGACACCGAGGGGCTGGGGGGGGGGGGGCGGGGGGGGGCGCCCCCCCGGGGCCGTGCCCTGCCCTTTGCCCGCCGCGGTCCCTGCGCCAGCACCGTGGCCGCCGGCCCAGAGCAGAGACGGGCATCGCCGCGGGGCCGGCTTGGGGCGATGCTTCAAGGGGTGGCACTGGTGCCCCCCATCCCTGCGGTGACCCCCTCCTGTTGTGTCCATCCCCCCCCCCCCGCAGAGCCCACCCCGGCACCATGCATTCACTGGAGGAGCCGCTGGACCTCAAGCTGAGCATCTCCAAGCTGCGAGCCGCCCGGGAGAAGCGGGGTGCCCCCGGCCCCCGACCCCGTGCTCCCCAGCGCCCGGACACCCCGCCGGCCGGGGATGGCCGAGGGGGGAGCCGGGGGGGTCGCCGGGCCGTGCCGGTCTCGCCGTCCCCCGGTCTCCTGGCACACTCCAGGCTGGTGGAGCCGCGGGACGGGCGCTTCCCGGCCATGCCGGTGGTGGACCTCAGCCTCTCGCCCCGCTCCGGCGGGGAGTCTCCGGCCGGCAGCGCCTCGCTCTCCCCCGAGCGCCAGGGCAGCGGGGACCTGCCCGGCCCCCTCACCCCCCACGTAAGTACGGCCGTGTGGTGCCTGTGTGTGTGTGTGTGTGTGTCCCCCCTCTCCCCGAGGTGTCCCCAGCGGTGGGGACTGTGCCTGGGACGGTGCTCCCGACCTCGGCAGCGTGCCCAGCATGTACACACACCCTGGGGTCACTGTCCCGCCTGGCCCCCACCCTGACCCCGGTGGCAGCCCCAGGGTGGGTCCTGGGGGGGGTCTCTGGGGGACAGCGGGAAGTTCTGGGGGGGGATACGGGGTCTCTGGGGGTCTCCATCCGGCTCGTTTCCCCACCCCGCCCCCCCCTCTGGGCTCCGCTCCAGGATTTCCAGTCCCTGCGATACATCGACGGCCTCCCCAGCTCCTTCCAGTTCTTCCTGCCGCTGGGGGCAGGGGGGGCCCTGCACCTGCCCCCTGCCGCCTTCCTGCCCCCCAGCAAGGAGAAACGCCTGCCCCCCGAGCTGCCCCTGCCCAAGCAGCTCGTCTGCCGCTGGTCCAAGGTCAGTGGGGAGGGCTGGGGGGGGGGTGTGATGGGGCTGGGGGGGGGCCGTGCGGAAGCTTTTTGCGGCTGGGGGCGGTAATAGGGGGCTGGGAGATCACGTAAGGGCATTGTGAAGATTGGGGGGGGGGCCACGAGGGCATTTTGGGGCTGGGGAGGGGATGTGGGGCTGGAAGGCTGTGGCAGAGCTCTATGGGGCTTGTGTGGGGGGATGTGGGGCTGGGGGGTGGCGGCAAGCAGGGACAGTTTAGGGCTGGAGGGGGGTGATGGTGAAATAGGGGGTGTGTGGATGCTGTGGGGGGGGTGTGTCATACAAAGGGCCATTTCCACCTCCCCAGATGCTGGTGCTGCTGTGCATGGGGGTACAGGCGGGACCGGGGGGGGGGGCTGGCCCTGGGGGGGTGGGGTGTCCCAGCCCCCCCTGCCGTGCCCACCCCACCGGGCCCCCTCACCCCCAGCCTCCCGCCCACAGTGCAACCAGTTCTTTGACCTCCTGCAAGACCTGGTGGACCACGTCAACGACTTCCACGTCAAACCCGAGAAGGACGCGGGGTACTGCTGCCACTGGGAGGGCTGCGCCCGCCACGGCAGGGGCTTCAACGCCAGGTGGGCAGGGGGGGCTCTGGGCTCCTTGGGGGGCTGCTCTGAGTCACTGTGGGGAGACAGAAGCCCAGCACTGGGGGGCTGTACAGGGGGAGGTCTCCAGCCAGTCAGCCCTTTGGGTGCGAGGTCCTGGGGGGGCTGGATGACCGGGCAGGACATCCTTCCCTGTCCCCCCCACCCCATAGCCAGGGCACAGAGACAAGGAGATGACCCGGGGGGGCCGGGGCTGCCCCCCTCTGACAGGCCCCCCCCCCCCCGCCCCGACCCTGGCAGGTACAAGATGCTGATCCACATCCGGACGCACACTAACGAGAAGCCGCATCGCTGCCCCACCTGTAACAAGAGCTTCTCCCGCCTGGAGAACCTGAAAATCCACAACCGCTCGCACACAGGTCAGTGCCGGCTGCCGCGCTCGCCCGGGGGGAGCGGGGAGGCTCGGGGGGGGGACGGGGACACACGGGGCAACACACACGCAGGGGCTGCGGCAGACCCGGCTGTGCCCCCCCCCGCCCCGGCAGACGCGGCGCTGTGCCGTCCCGCAGGCGAGAAGCCCTACATCTGCCCCTACGAAGGCTGCAACAAGCGTTACTCCAACTCCAGCGACCGCTTCAAGCACACCCGCACCCACTACGTGGAGAAGCCCTACTCCTGCAAGATGCCGGGCTGCCACAAGCGCTACACCGACCCCAGCTCCCTCCGCAAGCACATCAAAGCCCACGGTCATTTTGTCTCCCCCGAGCACCCGGAGATGCTCAAGGTCCACCCGCCTCCCAAAACGCCCCTGGGTTCGGCGGAGGTGCCCTACGTTAACGGGGCGCAGCTCGTGATCCCCAACCCCGCCGCCCTCTTCGCTCCCCCGGGGCTGCCGGCGTTGCCCATCCCTTTGGCGCCGGCGCCCCTCGACCTCAGCGCCTTGGGCTGCGGGGCCGCGGGCGCCCTGCCCGGCCCCATCTTGCCCCTCAACGGAGGCCCCTTGAACTTGGCCAAGAGCCCGCTGCTGCCCTCGCCCTTCGCGGCGGGGCTGGGGCTGCCCGTCATGTCGCTGCTGGCCGGCGGGGCCAAGGCCGAGGGGGAGAAGGGCAGCGGGGCCGAGGGGCGGCCGCCCAAAGCGGGCAAAGGGCCGGAGAGCCGGAAGGAACGAGGCGAAAGGACGGAGCTGGGGCGGCCGCGGGTCCCCCCCGAGAGCCTGGCGCTGCTGCCGGGGGCCGTGCTCGACCTCTCGGCCGCCGGCGTCAGCTCGGGGGGCAGCCCCGAGGCGCTGCCGCCGGGCTGGGTGCTCATCCCCCCCGGCTCCCTGCTGCTCAAACCCGCCGCCGTGAATTGAGGGGGCCTGACGATGCCCGGGGCCGGCTGCCGGCCCGGCGGGCAGATCCCTCTCCCTGGGGATGAACTAGGGGGGGGGGGCAACACCCCCTCCTCCCCTCCACACACCCCCCCACCCACCCTCCCCAGGGCCTCGCTCGTGCTTTTAACCATCACGAAAGAAGAACGGACTCTTCTGAGAAAAGCAATAATCCCTCGGTGGCCGGAGCCGGCTGCGACCCTGTGCCGGGGGAAGCCCTGGGGCAGGCGGGGGCGGGAGGGGGGGTGTCCCCACTACTCCCCCCCCCCCCCCCAGCTTGGGCAGCCGGATACGCCGCTATTTATTTCTTGACCAGCCCCCTGCTCTGACAGGGTCCTGCTTGGGCTCATCCGCTGCCGCTGACTCGGCGTCTCCCTGCCCGAAGCCTTGGCACTGCTGTTGGGGGTGTGGGGGGGTCCCACATTCCCCCACCCTCCCACCGCAGGGACAGCGGGGTGACAGCTCGGGGTCCGGCCGTGCCATCCAACCCCGCCTGGCCGGCACGGCTGCGGGCAGCGCCGCAGCCACGGCACCTGGGTGCCGGGCCCAGCTGGCTGGGCACACGCCGGCCCGCTGCCCGCCCACATCCCTCCCGCTCCGCGGCCACCCTTCGTCCCCCCCACCGCCGGCTTCCCCCCCCCCCCGACCGCTCTCCGTGACAAGGCACGCGTGTGCCGCTCGCCGCGCCGGCTCCACGCCGGGGCAGAGCCACCCTGTTTAGCTACTACGTTTTCATACCTAACCACGTACCGCGAGCGCATGCGGGCAGCAGGCAGCGGTGGGCAGGGCACCCGCTCCCCACCGAGGCTCCCCGGTGAGCCCCCCCCCCCCCCCCCTTCCCGGGGGTCCCCCACGTACCTCCGGCTGCCGGGCAGGACCCCCGCCCATGGCTTTTTTTCCAAAACCAGGGGGGTGGCGGCTGGGGGGGGGGGGGGTGCCCCCCATCCCGCCCCCTCCCCGCTGGAAGGAGCCCCCCCGCCGCGCACGCCCCGCGGGGAGCCGGTCTCCCTGCCCTCACCCTCCCGGGGCCGGGGCGCGGCGGCCGCCCGGCGCTGCCACAACCCCAGCATGGCCGCGGGCCCTCGACCAGGCCGCCCCGGCCGGTGTACGGTGTACGTCTCCTCGCTCCTTTGTCGGTTTGTTGTTGCACATTCCAGGACATCAGTATTTTAACGGTCTCGAAGTGCCTTTCTATCGTAGTTTCTGGGTTGTTTTTATTTTCCTCCTGTTGGGCTCCATCGCTGTTAGCATAGCGTTTAAGGACTGCAGAAGTAAGAGATAAGCTAACGACTATAACACTATATTCCTCCAGGGGAGAGGAAGTTTATTAAGAAAACAATAAAGTGAAGTTGAAGTAAGTTCCTGTCTCAGTCCGTGACCGTGGCGACGAGCCCACGGAGGTGGTGGGTGCGATGGTGGGGGCACGGCTGGCTCTGCCTGATGCCCCGGCAGGTCCCCGTGCTCCCGGCGAAGCTCTGGCACAAGCCACGGGTGGGGATGGCCACGGCCCGTCGCCCCGACCCTGCAGCCATGCCGGCTGCCCGCGGGTGATGGCACAGAGCTCCCGGCACGCCTGTGGTACGGAGCCAGGGGTATCCACGTGCTCGGGCCAAGAGCGTCCGAACCCACCACAAAAATAGCTCCCGCAGCCTCCCCCCGGGTGCCATCTGAGCCCCGGCAGCCCTTGGTGCTCCAGGGACACCCCTTCTTCCCCAGTCGCCTCCCTCCTCCTTCTCAGGGAGCCCCACCAGCCCCTCGCAGGGGTTGATCCCCACCGGGGCAGCGGGCAGAGGCGGGCAAGTCCCCTCTCCCTCCCCGGGATGGAGAGCAGCCAGGCCGGGTGCTGGAGGACATGGTATTTATTGGCTACCTATAAATTAAGGGTGAGGGACATGGGGCGTGGGGAGCAGCAGGAGTCACGTCTCGGCTTTCCACTCCTTCTCCTTCTCGTCCTTGGCCTGGATGCGGAGCTCCTCGTCCAGCCGCTCCTTGGCTCTCACCACCTGAGGGACAGGGGGGACGGGGTGACACAGAGGGATGGGGCTGCCCCCTCCCCTCCCTGCCCCCTCCGTGGTGACGCTCAGGCTCTGCCCCTCCCGAATCCCAGGCGGGGAAGGTGTGGAGGGCAGGGCTGGGGGCCAGCGCAGCCCCCCCATCCTCTCCTCCCCTTGCTCACCTTGGACTGCAGGTAGAAGGAGCCTCCCACTGACTTGTCGTTCACCTTGAACAAGTGGTCGTAGTTCTGCCGAAGAGAAGCTCCCTGTCACATTCATCTCCTCTTCCCCCCTCCCCAGCCTCGAAACCCTGGTGGCCTCCTGCTCCTCGCAGCGGTGCTGGAGGTGACAAGTGGCATTTTGGGGACATGGCTGGCTCTGCCCAACACCCTGGCGGGTCCCCATGCTCCCAGTCAGGCACCTGCAGGGAGCCCACATCCCCTTCCCCAGCAGCACGGCTGGGGAAACACCCGATCCAAGCCCGGCGGGCTGCTGATGCCCACGAGCTGCCGGCATGCTCCTCCAACTGGGGGAGGGAAACCTCCAGCTGGGGTTAACTGGGCCCAGGACAGCACCCACACTCCCTCTGGGGACCAGTCGTCACCCCCACAGCAGGCAGCACCCACGTGGAGGGCAGAGCTGTCTCTCCCCCGGCTCCGAGGGCGGCTTTACCTTCTGGATCTCCTCTGGGTTGAGGTTTGAGACGTTGAGGATCTGCTGAGCTTCCTGGAGGCTGATGCCGATGATCCGGGACGCGGCGGCGGACTGGGGCCTCTCCGAGCGCCCTCGCGCGTCTGCTGCCGCTCGGCTCGCTGCCCGGAGACACCGAGGGGTGAGTGTGTGTGTGTGTGTGTCCCCCTCTCCAGCGCTGCCCCCCCGGGCACCCCCAGACATCGGGCGGGGGCCAGGCAGCAAAGCCCGAGGTGCTCAGAGCCCCGTTTCACCCCTCCGCTGCCTCCAGCCCGTGGGGGTCACCCGGATGAGGCCGCCGGTGCTGGGGAGGTGGCAGGAACCGGGGTGGGGGGGGCAGCCGGGAGGTCTCGGAGCCTGGCAGCGGGTGGCTGGGACGGGGGGTGCTGACTGTCCCCCCCCCCGCTGTGAGCCCGGGGGAAGCGGGGTGCAGCCGTGCCCTGGATACCGGGGGGTGCTCAGCACCCCCGGCGCGGGGTCCAGCACCCCAACCCGGGGGCGGCCGCTCGGCTCCTACCTGCAAACTCCTGGCGCAGCGCCCGCACGAAGGCCCGGCCCACCACCTGGGCCCCGACCAGGATGATCTGCGCCAGGTACTTGGCCTGCGGGGACACTCGGGGGTCACAGCCGCCCCGGGACCCTCCCCAGCCCCGTCCCACGCTTTGTCCGCACCCCCCCCCCCAACCTTCCGCGCACCTCCCCCCCCTCCTCTCCCCCCACCCGCATCATCCCCCGCCTCCCCAGGCCCTGTCCCTCCGTCCCCAGGCCCTGTCCCTCCGTCCCCAAGCCCTCCCCAGCACCATCCTCCCCGGCCCCGGCCCCGGCCCCGCTCCCCGCTCACCATGGCCCCGCCGCCGCTTCCGCCCCCGCCGGTCACGGGGTCAGGGAGCGAAGGGCGCCGCGGACATCGAGACGGCGGCGGGCGCGGGCCGGACCGTCCCCGCCTTTCCCCGCCTCGATGAGCAACAGCGCCACCTGGCGGCCGCGCCTCCCGGGAGGTCCTGGCGGGGCTGCGCTGCGCATGCGCACGGGGCGGGCGAAGGCGAGGGCTGCGGCCTGTTACCGGGGCCCGGTCCCGTCTGTGTCTGTGTGGGGGTGTCTGTGTCCGTGTCTCCCCCCCCCCCCCCCGGTTCCCACCCCTCCATCCGCCCCCCGACCCACAATCACGGCAGGAGACGGGTGATAGCGCAGCGGCTTTAATAGCGGGGCCTGCCCGCGGTGGGCACGGGGCCCAACGGCGCTGCCCGGCCCGGCCTTCGGCCCTGCCGCGCCTCCCCTCAGCCGGGCCGGGCCCCGCCGCGCCCCCTTATCCTCCTCCTCCTCTTCGTTTTCCTTGACGGGCCCATACGAGTGCGGAGGGTCCCCGGCGTTGTCCTAGGGGCGCCGGGATCCGGCTTAGTCCTGTGGGAGGCCCGGTGGGGGTGAGGGACGCAGTGGGGCGGGGCGGGACCGGCTCCCCGCCCCCCCCCCCTCCACTACACCTACCCACTCGTCCTCGTCCACCCCCTCGAAGGAGTCCTGGGGCAGCGGGTCATCCCGGTTGCCCAGCCGGGCCACCATGGCGCTCAGGAGCTGCAGGGAGACAGGGCAGAGCCGTGGGGCCCAGAGCATCGCCTGCCACCCCAGCCCAGGCCCCGCAGCAGGGTGCTCCTGGGGTGCCCCAGCACCCACCTCCTCCTTCTTCTGCTCGTCAGACTTCTCCTCCAGGTACACGGACGCCGGGACAAACTTCCGTGCTGGAGCCTCTTTTGGGGCCTCGCTCACTGGGGGAGCAGTGTCACCGTGGGGCAGGAGGGCTTTGCCCCACGGCTGACCCACCCCCCCACGCCTGTCCCCTGTGAGCACGGGGCCCTCGCCCTGTCCCTCCACACCCACCTGGCGTCATGTCGGCCGGCCGCAGGCTGGCACGGCGCTGCTGCCCGTCCTCCCCCGCCAGCCAGGCGCTGCCGCCGAGGGCCGGCTCCCACCACACACGGGTCGGCGGGTAGACATCATCCTGGAAATACTCCTTCTGCGGGGGCAAGAGGTGGCTGAGGGGGGACCCCCACCTCCTACAATCACCCCAGATGTGGCTGGGTCCCTGCCACTCACCTTGACGCGTGGCACATGGAAAGCCACCGGCTCGAGGGTGCTCTGCCTGAGGCGCAGCGCCCGGGCGAACTCCACCTCCCGCACCTCGCACACCGTTTTGGGCAGGAAGACGAAGCCCTATTGGGGCGGAGGCGTGAGCGGGGCCTGCCGTGGCTCTGGCAGTGCAGGCAGGGGGGTCAGGGACAGGCAGCGCAGCCAAGGGCCCCCCCTTTACCTTGTGGGGCTCATTGGAGGTGAAGCTGTTGCACTCAAGGAAATAGGGGGGCTCGGGTGTCACCTCGTAGAGGAAGACTCTGGTGTCACCCTGAGGATGGAGCAAGATGGGGTGCGTGGGGGGTCCCCCTGCACTGTTAGGGTGCTGTAGGCAGGTAGCCCCCCCCGCCAGTTTTTTTTGTAGGCGCAAACCCTCACCTTGCCAGTGAGGAAAACAACGCTGGTATCCTCATCGTAGAAGGGCAGGAGGGTGGAAGGGGCCACGTCAAGGCCAAGGACGGACAATGGCCCCTCGGGCAGAGCCTGCACCCGGTACAGGAGGATCTTCCTCTCGCTGCGGCTGTGGGGAGGTGACAGTGAGGGCATGGCACAGTGTCCTTTGGAGACCCCTGCCCTGTGTCCCCCTCTTTACCTATCAAATCCGGACACCAGGAGGTAGTCGCCGCCACAAACCCAAACCAGGCGCGCTCCACGGCTCCCCTCGGGACCCGGACCCTCCTGCGTGGGGTGAAGGTCACCCTGCCTGCTCGGAGGGAGCTGGGGGTGCCCCACGGGCACCTGCCCGCACCCTCACCTCCCCAGCCTGTCCCTACCACTGCGGTTGTACCTGTTGAGGCTGAGGGCTGTGCCGGGGCTCGTAGAGCCGTAACCGTCCGTCTTTGCTCACCGTCGCCAGCTTCTTCCCATCAGGGCTCCAAGCCAGGCTGAAGATCTGGGGAGACAGATGTTGTGCCCCCCGCCTCGTGTCCCCTGTATGGCCAAACACGCCCCTCAGGTGTCCCCAGATGTGTCGTCCCTTACCTGATCGGTGTGTCCCCGCAGGCACAGGGTTTCCCGCCCGGCGCTCAGCTCCCAGATCCGCACCGTCATGTCGTAGGAGGAGGAAACCAGGAGGTCGGATGCCACGGGGTGGAAGCGGATGGAGTAGATCTTCTCCGTGTGACCTGGTAAGGTTAAGTGGTGCATGGCAGTCCCCGCCTGCCTCGGGAGGGGGACACCGCTGGGCTGGCTTGTCCCCAGCGTGGGGGTGCTCGGTGATGCCTCCCCGTGCGCCCCTCACCTCGGAGGACAGCTTCGGGCTCCCGCAGCGTCTCCCGCAGCCCTCCCTCAGGGATCTGCCACAGCCGGATCTTGGCGTCTTCACCCGCTACGGCATCAAAATGGATGGGCAGTGGTGAATGAGGCGAGCTGGCATGCCCGGTGCCGGGGGGCTAGCCCAGCCCACTCCCCCGGGAATGGCATGCATACCGACGGCGAGGCGCCGCGGGTCGAAGGGGTCCCAGGAGAGGTCGGCCACCGCTGCGCCGTTCTGGATGGTGGGCATGGCCGCGTCGGGGAGACGGCCGGGCTTGGAGAGCTGTGGGAGAGAGCCGGGGGATCACCTGCCCTGCACCCACCGGTGCCGTGCCGGCCGCCGCGCCGCGCCGGGGGTACCTCAAGGACGGCGATCTGGCCGCCGGCAGAGAGCAGGGGGAGAGCGACGCGCTGGTGGTTGGCGCAGAAGCCGTCACACTCGCCTGGCGTGGTGAGGCTGAGCCCCCGCAGGTTGGTGAGGTGGGTGTCGCGGTGCAGCACCCTGCCCTGCGTGTGCCGGAAGCGGGAGCTGGGCCCTGGCACAGGCGGGGGAATGGGTGAGCGCCCCGAGTCCCACCCCCTTCCCCAGCCAGGGGACACCGAGCCATCCCACCGCTCGCTCACCCAAAATACTCTGCAGCGACTTCTGGCTGGGGCTGCTGGCGAAGCCGCTGGAGGGGCCGGTGCTGGCCGAGAGCGAGGTGGCAGTGCTGCCCGGCGAGGCCAGTGAGGATGGTGAGGAGTAGCCGCTGCCCTCCTACGGGGGAGAGAGCAAGTGGGCAAGGGGTGCTGGCATCCCAGCTCTCCCTCTTCCCCGTGGGACAAGGGCGCTGGGAGCCCCCCCCAGCACACCGTGCTCACGCTCCGGTTGGTGTCGGTGGGGCCGGTGTCGGTGTCGGCTGCCTGCAGCCGGGTGCAGGCGATGGGGGAGGTGAAGGTCTCCGTGGGTCTTCGTGCAGGGTGCAGGCTCACCCTCCCCACCTGCTGGCGGGCAGAGCGGTGGGCAGGGGGCAGTGGAAGCCCCTGGCAATGCCACCGGTGAGGACAACACCCCCCCACACCCCCCTGGGTGACACTGACCTGCTGGCTGTCCCCTGCCCACCAAGCCTGGGCGCCAGTGGCTGGCAGTGTCCCGGCACAGTCTGGGAACAGATCCTCGTGGAACTCCTGGATGGACTGTGGGAGAGGGGACAGGGTGAAATTGGTGTCCCCGAAACCCCACAGTCCCCATCCAGGTGGGCTGGGGCACCCCGTGGCACCCCAGACCCTCCAGCCGTGGAAGTCCCCATGAGCTGAGCACCAAAGCCTGTACGTGTTAGATGCTGTCCGGCGTTGGGCTGCCTCCTGCACCCCTGAACGCAGCCAGCCTCCAGAACAGCACCCAACTCCCAGCATCACTCCTTCCAGCACCCAGCCTCCAGATTTAAGCACCCAGTGTACCAGATCTGGCACCCAGGATCCCACCTCCAGCACCCAGACTCTGCTACCCAGCACCCAAATTTCAAACGCTTTGTGCCGTTTTAAGCAGCCGGCATTCAGGATCTGGCACCCACCATCTTGGCACGCAGCACTCTGCTTCCCAAATCTAGCACCCAGCAAATCCAGCCTCCGTTATCTACCATCAGCACCCAGCTTTCAGCCTCCAGCACCCACCCTCCAGCCTCTGTTACCCACCATCAGCACCCAGATTTCAGCCTCTGTTACCCACCATCCCACCCAGCTTTCAGCCTCCAGCACCCACCCTCCAGCCTCCACCACCAGCACCCAGCACCCAGCTTTTACCTCCTCTCCTGCTCTCTCCAATCTGGGGACCGGGGTCCCCCCACACCTGGGTGCTGTCACACAGTGCCCCCCCGCACCCCTTCCCCCCCCCACCCCCCTCACCTTGCGTGGCACCAGGTAGCTGACGGGGACGAGGGCGGTGTCGGTGAGCTGCAGGACGCGCAGCACCTCGCAGGCCATGACGTCCAGGGCCAGGCGCGGCACGGCACCCAGACCCCGCGTGCTGCCCTCCGTCCGGCACTGGGTCACTGGGGGACGGGCAGGGGGGGCCGTGGGGCAGGCAGCGCAGGCAGAGCCCAGACCCCCCCGGGGCTGCCACCAGCCCGGCGCGGGCCGCATCCTGCTTACCCTGGGTGAGCGCCGGCTGCGTGGCTGTCACCTCGAAGCAGTATAGGAGGTTTTCTCCCTGGAGGGGGACGGGGCATGAGCGGGGCTGTGGGGAGCACCCCGCCACACCCCCACGCACCCCGCTACGCCCCCCGGCACCCTTCCGCATCCTCCCGCACCCCACTGCGCCCACATACATGTTGCTGCCACCCCTGCGCCCCGCTGCTTCCTCCTACGCTCCACCGCACCCCCCCCTGCACCCACATACACCCTTCTGCACCCCCCCTTGCACCCTCATACACCTCACTGCACCCCACCTCACCCCCCACACACACACACCCCGCTGCTCTGGGACCTCACCTTCCCTGCCAGCACCAGCAGCCCCGTGTCGGCGTCGTACAGCGGGATGGCCGCCCTGCAAGGGAAGGAGGGTGCTGAGCCGGGGGCACCCTGACGGCTGTGGGGCCGGA